AACATATAAATTGGTGAACTTTGAGTAAAGCAGATTGCCCTCCGCAATATGGGTGGGCCTCGTCCAATCAGGTGAAGGCCTGAACAGAACCAAAAGGCTGACCCTGCCCCTAATAAGAGTTTTCCTGCCTGACTTTCCTAGAACTGAGACTTTGGCTTTGATTCTGCCTTCAGACTCAAAGTGAGTATCGGCTCTTCCTGGGTCTTGAGCCTGCCAGACTTTGGACTGGATTGGACTAGAGCTACACCAAGAGTTCGCCTGGTTCTCAGACCTTTAGGCTTGGACTAAAATGAAAACACTGGCTCTCCTGGGTCTCCAGCTTGCTGCCTCATCCTGTAACTCTGAGGACCTGCCAGCCACCGTAACTGTGTGAGTTAATTCCGTAACGAATCTGTGTGTGTGTGTGTGTGTGTGTGTGTGTGTGTGTGTGTGTGTATACCTCCTATTGAAATATATGCGTGTACTCCCTGTTGGGTTTGTTTTGCTGGAGAACCCTAAGACAGGAAGTCATCCACAACTGCATCCTAGAATTTTTAATGATAAGAGAGGCCAGTCAGCTATTCACGTGTCATGAAGGGTCCTCGTTCAGCTACCAAGCATCTATCTGTCAGAATCTGCCACACTTCTGGGGTATAGAATTCAATTAAGGAAAAAAGTAATTCAATTAAGGAGAGACTAAAAATCACCTATTTGGGGAAAATCGATGCAAACCCAGTGTTCTCTGACATGCTGTAGAAAGACAGACATTGTTGGTCCCAAATATTCTATTTTTTTTAAAGATTTTATTTATTTGACAGAGAGAGACACAGCAAGACAGGGAGCACAAGCAGGGGGAGTGGGAGAGGGAAAAGCAGGCTTTCCATGGAGCAGGAAGCCCGATGTGGGGCTCAATCCCAGGATCCTAGGATCATGACCTGAGCCGAAGGCAGATGCTTAATGACGGAGACACCCAGGTGCCCCGGTCCCAAATATTCTAAAGCAGCTGGGGTCCTGAGCTGGAATGATATGGAGAATGCCTGTTACCATAACAGTCAAAACAATTCATTCAGACTTAGAATGTGAAGAAGCTGGAAACGAAACTTCGATCTTCATGCATGTAAATGTAACAAAAGTTGGCGAAACCTCATATTTAAGAGAAGGAGGTACAGTGATAATTATAGTTATTAAGCTTAAAGAAAATAAAATTAACACTTTGGTGTTATGATACAATTTTGAGAGACTTGTGTGATGTTAGAGTTCACCGGAACCATCAATGTGAATTCATGACTTGGGAAAGAAATATCTTTTTTCTCGCTCTTACTAGTGGTGGTGCGATGTTGTTTTGCCTATCGCTAATATGCACAAGGAACCATCAAGTATGCATAGCCCCGCATTCAAACTGTAGGCTCTATCAGTATCCCCTAGTAAAGGTAGCTGACTCCAGGGGCAACTGGTGTCTCAGTCAGTTGAGCAACTGACTGTTGATTTTTTTTTTTTAAGATTTTATTTATCTATTAGAGAGAGAGAGAGAGACTGAAGAGAGTGTGAGAGAGCTAGTGGAGGGGCTGGGGAGTGAAGGGCAGAGGGAAAGGGAGAAGTAGACTCCCCACTGAGCAGGGAGCCCGGTACTGGGCTGGATCCCAGGACCCCAGGACCCCAGGATCATGACCTGAGCTGAAGGCAGATGCTTAACTGACTGAGCCACCTAGACGCACCCGCCTCTCGATTTTGGCTCAGGTCTGATCTGAGTCATGGGATGGAGCCCCAAGGTGGGCTCCATGCTCAGTGGGGAGTCTACTTGGGATTCTCTCCCTCTCCCTCTACACCGCCGCCCCCCACTCCCCGCTCATGCACACATGTGCTCTCTCTAAAATAAGTTGAAAAATCTCTTGAAAAAAGAAGTTGCAGATTCCACATATTAGGTCAAGAACTGGGATGATTTTTTGTGATCAAAAAACTCAGATACTGGGGTGCCTAGGTGGCTCAGTGGGTTAAGCTTCTGCCTTTGGCTCAGGTCATGATCTCAGGGTCCTGGGATCGAGCCCCGCATCGGGCTCTCTGCTTGGCAGGGAGCCTGCTTCTCCCTCTCTCTCTGCCTGCTGCTCTGCCTACTTGTGATCTCTCTCTCTGTGTGTCAAATTAAAAAAAAAAAAAAAAAAAACTCAGATACTTTAAAAATGTCTGCTGTACATCTGAAAGGGAAAAGGCTCCCACCTAAAAGGGCCAACATATGACAACTGGAGCACCCAAGAAGTGAATAATAATTATAGGTAATTGAAAGAAGTCTGTGAAAATTTCTCTCGAAATTTTGACAAGCTGCCTTATTATTTAAATGGAAAAGCACCAGAGCCGAGCCAGCCGAGCCAGCTGCTGTGAGGACACTCCAAGAAGGGCCAGAGGTGGGGATGGGAGCACCTGCCCAACCAGGTATGAAAACATTTTTTAAACTACCGTAATTCAGGGGTGCCTGAGTGGCTTAGTCATTAAGTGTCTGCCTTCAGCTCAGGTCCGTGATCCTAAGGTCCTGGGATCGAGCCCAGCATCGGGCTCCCTGCTTGGCGGGAAGCCTTCTCCTTCTCCAACTACCCCTGCTTGTGTGCTCTCTCTTGCTGTGTCTCTCTCTGTCAAAAAAATAAATAAAACCTTAAAAAAAAATACTGTAATTCAGGCAATGTGTTCGTGCTAGAGGAACAGACACACACAGCATGTTTGGGAACTTGGTCTATGACACAGCTGACAGGACTGATCAGTGGGGCAAAGCCCAGCTAGTGCATACATAAGGCCCAACCTGGTCTCTTACCCCCACCTGAATACAAGAAAACATCATTCAAGCCCCAGACATCAGCAGGTCAGAAGCTCCCAGAGGACTCCCAAGAGGAACTCTTAACCTTCCCACAGTGCACACTTCCACTGAGGAGAAACAAGGAACTCAAGAAATTAGGAAGCATGTATAGGACAATCAGTTCTCCATGTAGAAGAAAGAAATTGGATTCTTACTTCAACCACAGAGAAAAAAATAATTAAATGCAAAAAGCAAAAGTATGGAAAAATTCAAAGAAAACACAGGGTAATATCTTCATGACTTCATGGTAGGGAAGAGTTTTTAACACATAACTTGAAATTGCAAAACATAAAGGAAAAGAATTATAATTTTGATTATAATGAAAAGCATTAATAATGAAAAGCATTCGTTCAATGAAAGGAACCATAAGTAGAATGAGAAGATAGGCCACAAACTGGAAGATATGTATGACATGTACAGCTGATAAAGGATTAGTACCCAGAAAATATGAAAAAAAAAAAAACCACCTCTAAAAATCAGTTAAGAAAAACGGAAACAAAATAGGTCGTTCAATGTATGTCAACTATGTTTTGATTTCTTAATTTTTAATTTTTTGAAAGATTTTACTTATTTATTTGAGAGAGAGAGAGAGAATGAGAGGGATGTGGGGTAGAAGGAAAGGCGGAGTCTACACTGAGCAGGGAGCCTGACACGGGGCCCGATCCCAGGACCCTGAGATCATGACCTGAGCTGAAGGTAGACTCTTAACTGAAGGAGCCACCCAGATGCCCTAAACTTTAATTTTTTTTTATTTCAAAAACATTTCTCAAAACTTTTGATAGACACTTCACAGTAGGGACATGTCACAAATAATTCAAGAAACACAATAAACAACGTTCAACGTCTCTGCTAATCAGGGACTTAAATCCACAATGAGATACTATTTTATCCATTCCAGATTTATAAAAATGAGAAAACTAGACAATATCAAATGTTGGTGAAAATGTTGAGTAAGAGGACCCATATGCAGATGACTCTTGAACAATGGTGGGGGGGGGGCAGGGGCGCCCACCCTCCTGCGAAGTTGGAAATCCGTGTGTAAGTTTTGACTCCCCAGAAATGTGACTACTGTCGACCAGAAGCTTTGCCCAGTCAATTGATAAATACTTTGTATTCTATATGTTTTATACACTGTATTCTTATAATAAAGTAAGCTAGAGAAAAGAAAATGTTATTAAGAAAGTCATAAGGAGGAGAAGATACATTTACAGTACTAGACTGTATTTATAAAAAAAAAATCATGTATCCATGGACCTGCACAGTTCAAACCTGTGTTGTTCAAGAGTCAACTGCATTTCTGGCGAGAATGCAAACCAGAACAACCTCATTGGAGGATAATTTGGCAATATCCAGTGAACAAGACACACACTTTATGACTTTATGACTTAGCAATCCCACTCAGTGGGATGAGAATGTTCATTGCCAAAATTACAGAATAGTAGAAATATGGAGGGGAGCCCTCCTGGCTCAGTTGGTAGAGCACGTGATTCTTGATCTCAGTCATGAGTTCAAGCCCCGCATTGGACATAGAGCCTAGTTTTTATTTTTTGTTAAGATTATATTTATTTATTTGATAGAGAGAGAGATATCACAAGTAGGCAGAGAGGCAGGCAGAGAGAGGAGGAAGCAGGCTCTCCGCTGAGCAGAGAGCCCCATGGGGACCTCGATCCCAGGACCCTGGGATCACGACCTGAGCTGAAGGCAGAGGCTTTAACCCACTGAGCCACCCAGGCACCCCTACTTAAGAGGTTTTTAATGATAGAAAGAATCTTTGACAACTTCAAGGGTTTGTTTCCTGGGCTGCACTAGTCCACACGCTGGCCCCCACACGCTGAGGGGTGAAGGGTAAGGGCCTGGTCAGCAGGTGCGTTGACTGCTACAGCCCTGTCAAGGCCCCAGCTATTCTTGGTTCTGAGAAGGCAGTTTTTGTGCCAACTGGGGTATGGCCTAGAAGGAAGAGCCACAGGACTCTGGAGGACTGGACAGTCAGGAGTGTAGTTTTGGAAGCTCCAGGAAGAAAGCAGCATGGGCAGGTGAGTCCAGACAGCTGGCTGTCTCTCTGCCTGACGTCACTGCACCAGCAGCTGCCACGGGAGCCCCGCCAGGGCGAGGCTGGACCCTATCTTTGTAGCCCTGGTCACATCAGCTTAGAAGGGCCCCTTTTGCCAGATCACACTCTCTCCCCCAGGAAACTCCTGGGGGTGGCGTGGATTGTAGAGGTGGGGTAGGAAACTCCTGGGGTGGCGTGGATTGTAGAGATGGGGTGGCGTGCCCAAGGCTAGCTCAGAGTCCTGGCCATGTCCACCCACGCGTGTCCATCTTCAGATTCCAAACCCAAGCATCAAGGACAGGGACTCATTACACCAGAGTCAGTTTCAGGAAGCTGGGCTTTCAGCTATGCAACACAGTGGGGGCCAAGAGGGTCCTCACGGTCTGAGGGGAGCCAGTGAGGGGTGTGTACATGGACATTTAAAAGGACTGATGGAGTTGCAGCGATTATCTGCGCAGCTGCCATGACAATAACAAGAAAAACGGAGTTTGGGTTGGAAGGCTACTTCGTGTCATCTAACAATATTTAAAATGCACAGCATGCCATGGTTCCATGTTACAAATTTCTCCTATAGATATACCTACACAACTGCGCAAAACATTTTGTATACAGACATTTATTGTAGCACTGTTTGCCGGACCAAATAAAAGGAAACAACCTTAAAGTCCACCACTAGGGAACCAGGTAAATCAAAGATAGCATATCTACATTTTGAAGCACTTACTACATGGCCATTAAAAGGAGCAAGGAGGGAAAAAAAAGAGCAAGGAGGACTTACGGTGAAGATACACAAAGATCTCTAAAATGTATTGTTAAGTGAGGGAAGCAGGATCACATCGCACAGCTGTGTGAACAAGGTGGGCTTGCCCATGCCCAGCCTGGACCTGGAAGGCTATCCGAGAGACTGACAGCACCGGGGGTTTTGTGACGGGGAACTGGGGAACTCAGTAAGGAAGACACACATCCTTTTGCAGTATTTGAATTTTTAAATTGTACTTATGCATTCTCTATATTTACCAAATATTGACATTTTCAGAAATAGGACTTGGAATGAAGTGTGGCTACTACAGAGTCCATACAGGTGTCTATGTAGCTGTGACTTTATAAGGTGAAGGGCCACCATCGTCGTCCCCCGACCCTGGGGGCGCCAGCATTCGAAAGGCGGCGGAAGAGTGAACGTACAGATGGAAGGCAGGAAGGATGCAAACGGCAGTGTGGATGTGAGCCAGGAGGTGGCGCTACAGAGCCCAGGCCCGGACTTAACCAGAGAAAAGTACCCGGTATTCGGAAAGGGGGGCTCATATTTATATAAACATAAAACAGCTTTTGCACCTCATTGTCGCGCCCTTCAAAGTAGTCTGCTGAGCCTGGATACTCAGAGGAATCGCTGAGCTCGGGTTCTAAACATATGTCAGAGACCCCTGCTTAATCTCTGCAGGCAGAGGATGGCTCTAATTTTGGGAAACATTCAGATGTCATTTGGCCACATGTTTGGTTAAAGAACTGAGAGATCAAGTCAGGCAATTAATTCTTTGGTTAAAAGAACAAAACAACAAGGCAGAGACTCAAAGCAAGCTGCTGCTCTGACGCTTCTTAAAAAGAGGTTCTGACCGCTAAGCCCGAAAACGGTGCTAAAAAGATAATGCGTGCCTCAGGGGCGCCGCGGGAACGCGGCTCGGGTTCCCAGGGGACAGCTTGGAAGAGGTCACCGCTCCCTCGGAGGGGCGGGCTCTGTTTCTGTGAGGACAGTGGGTCCAGGCCTCGCCCTCGGGGCGGCGGGCGGGCGGCGGGGCAGAGCGCGGGGCTCAGCTCTTCTTGCGCAGTTGGCTGTACTGCGCACGGCCCAGGATGGGCTCCATGACGCTGGGCCGGAAGAAGCTGTCGCTGACCCTGCGCCTCGGCTTCTCGCGGGCCACCGCCTGGAAGGCCGGGCGCAGCGCGGGGGGCGCGTCCACCCTGTCCTCCGGCGCCGGGCTCGGGGGCGCCCCGGGGCTGCGCGCGGGCCGCAGGCTGCCGCGGGGCTGCGAGGGACGCCGCGCGGGATCCGGGCCCGCGGGCGGCACCCCAGACGCCCTGCGCTCCGCCTCCTGGCGCACCACCTCTTCGATGTCCCGGAATTCGCTCTCGGGCTCCATCAGGGACAGCCTGGGGAGCTGAGGGCCCAGCAGCCGTGTTAGGGCCCCCAGCCTGGCCCTCGTCCCTGCCTCTCCCACCCACCGCTCCTCCGGGGCCCTCGCATGCACCCCTCCCAGGAGCGGCCTTCGGAAGGCACAGCCTGGGGTGTGAGGCGAAGAAGCAGGGGAGACATCTTGCCCTCTCCAATGGTCTCCTCGGTCCACACCCCCAAGGTAAGGCAGGCATTCCCCTCCCAAAGTGCCTGGACCCCTCGGGTCGCCCTCAGGCCTCCCTCCATGGAAAAGCAGCGGATTTCCTGCCCGAGCTGAGCGCTAAGCACAGCCCACACGCTGTTCCAGCCACGGTCAGGGGACCCATGCCTGGCCCTGTCCGGAGCCCAAGGAGAACAAGCTCGCAGCCAAGACCCCCGCCCCGGCCTCTTGGAAATGAGTAACTGAGTAAGCCGCCCCCCCCAAGGGGTGGGGTCCTGAGTGGGCCTTCCGGAGCCTGCGCAACCTGTAATTCACTCTGGGAAGAGGCCAAGGGACTGCTAGAGAGGCAGTACTGGTGTCTCTTGGGTTTTTCCTGTCGTTAATAGGTGATAGGATTGGGATGGGGCAGCAGCTGTGTCCTGGAATAGAACCCGCCTCCCAGGGTGTCCTGGAAGCCTCCCTCTAGCCCCTTTCCAGGGAGCAGCATGCAAACCCTGTCCCCCCCGCCCCAGGTGAGGGTTGGGCCAACTGGGGACCCTCAGACTGATGGTCAGAAGCAGGGGCTGTGGGGAAAGGTCTCAAGCTAGGGCCACTGTCTCTATACTCTTGGGGCTGGCAAGCGCCTTCTACTAAGGCCACAGTTTGTCAAAATGTTTCTGGGGCGCTGAGGATCAGGAGAACCACACCAAGATTAGGGAAAGGAGGACCACCGCAGCCCCTTGGGTCAAACCTGCTTTCCCCGACATTCCCAGGCCGCTGTAGTGGGACTCACCGGCACGTAGTGGACCACTGTGTCGACCACGTTGTCAGTGACGCCCTTCAGAGCATCTGACAGGGACATGGCCCTCCCCTTGGTGGAGGAGACAGCGCTGGCCGGGGCGAGGCGCAGCATCCTCGCTGCTGAGCCCAGCACCGCCGCAGGCGCCCACGTCACGGCGGAGATGGTGCTCTGGACCGCCTTCTGCAGCGTGTGGGCCACGCCGCCCAGGAGGCCTTGCGCGCTGGCCAGGGCTGCCACCTGGGGGCCGGAGCTAGGTCAGCACCTGCTGCGGCGCGTCCCCGGGGCCCGTCTCCTCCCCGCGGCCCCCAGAGCTGGAGGGAAAGAACGTGGACACCAAATGGGCGAAACTGTTTGCCGGTTTCTTCCCAGCTGTGTGGCCTTGGGCAGGTCACTTGCCCTCTCTGGGCTTGCTTCTTCTTGGGCACCATGGGGATGATAGTCTCCGCCCTGCCTGCTTTCTGGGGGTGAGGGTCAGCTGAGAGAAGGGCATGGAAGTGCTCAGCTGGCTGTCTGGGGGTACGATGAACGGTGCATGCGCGCTATGTCTCTGGGTCTGGGGGCGCAGACCCCTGTTTCACCCCGTGCCTCTGCTTCACGCCCCTGGAGGGGGCTGCGGGACCTTGCGGTGTCAGCGCCCCCACTCGGCCGCTGCTCGCCCCCTTACCTCGTTGAGCTGGTTCTCCTCCGTGTCTGATTCCTCCTCCTCCTCCGTCTCCTCTCCCTCCGTGTCCGTCCGGTCGCCGTGGTCCTCGTCCTGGGCAGCGTCGAGGCTGTGCAGCCAGGGCACGCGCACCTCACTCCGCCGCCGCGACACCACCTGCATGGCGGCCGACGCGCCCCACTGGGCCAGACTGCTCTGGGGGGGGGGGGGGGGGGGGGCCGCCGGCCCCTGCCCCCCTGCAGCCCCCGGAGGGGGGGGGCGCACCTCTACCGCCGGGGCCAGGCCCTGGCGCACTGTCCCCCAAACTTGACACTGAGTTCTCACTGACACACCTGGGGCACGCACGTCGGGGGCGTGCAGCTCTGTGAGGTTTCCTAAGCACGCCCGTGTGCAAACTACCACGGATCAAGAGAGAGGCCATTTTCAACACCCTGTTGGTACCCACCACACACACTCCCTCCGGGGGACCGCATGGGGACCTCTGCCAACAGAGGGTGGGTTCTGCCCATTGCTGAACTTCATGTAAATGGACTCATGCAAGGTGGCTTCTTCCGTGAATAGTGTCTTCTGTTCCACATCGTGCTGCGGACTCATCCGTGCTATTGCACGTCAAGAGAGCTCCCTGCTTGTCACTCTGTGTTATATCCCATGCAGCTCTACCACAACCCACCCACTCTGCTGGTGACGGACGTCTGTGTTGCTTCCAGTTCTGGGCTAAGGATAAAGCCCGATAGGAACATCTGGATGTGTCTCTGGGGACACGTAAGCTCTCACTTCTGTTGGGTTGAACTGCTGGGTCTTAGCTGGGAGGGGTGTTTAGACACTCCTTGGAGGTCTCTGAAGATGGAAAATGTCAAGCGGGCCACAGTGTCCCACCGGCAGAAACAGACCCGGGCAGGTGGGCTAGCGCCCCCTGGAGGCACAGCCTGGCTCACTCCTAGCCAGAGGGAGCGCCCCCAACAGGGCTTCCTCATCATATGGCTCCAGGAGACACCACTATGGTGTGAACAGGGTGCCTGAGGTTGTATGGTACTAGGCTGGGACACGCATCAGTTGCAGCCCCCACGGGTAAATGATCCCCCAGGGCAGGGGACAGAAGGGAACCACTACTCTCATATCCCCACTGGAGCCACAGAACCTGCTGACATTTGTTTGAATGAATGAGTCAGGCCTGATGACGCTTTTAAAACTGTTATCCAGGGTGCCTGAGTGGCTCAGTGGGCTAAAGCCTCTGCCTTCGGCTCAGGTCATGATCTCAGGGTCCTGGGATCGAGTCCCGCATCGGGCTCTCTGCTCAGTGGGGAGCCTGCTTCCCCCTCCCCCTCTGTCTGCCTCTCTGCCTCCTTGTGCTCTCTCTCACTCTGTCAAATAAATAAAGAAAATCTTAATAAAAAAAAAAGTGTTATCCAAATGATGGCTGAGAGTGGTTTTGTTTTGTTTGCTGACCCTTAGGCTTTAATTCTTAACTTTTATTTCCTTTATTCCCTTATTTGACCTTTGCTTCTTATAAAGGTTCTTATGAGAAAATCTGTTCTATATCTGCTAAAATACATAGTGGGGGGTTGGGGTATGGTGGGGAGTTACCCCTGCCTGGGCCTAGAAAAGGCAGTTTTACCTTAGGTGCAAGTAGGATGCAAATTAGAAGCCTCCGGAAAGGAAATGTGAAAACCTGGGAGCAGTCAGGGTCAGGGGTGCAGCCCAGCCAGCGTTCTCTCCCCAACAGAAGGGGTTTGGGGCCTTGCTTACTTACAGGTGACACTCCATGGTCCCTAGATAGCAGCTAAGGGTCTCTGCTCCCCCATAGGTGGGGGGGCACAGAAAGAAACCCCTTTGAGAGGATGAATGCTGGGGGTGGGACTCAGAGGCAGAGGGAGAGAGACAGAAGTGGACAGCAGGGAGGACCACCCCAGCAAGGCAGGCTTGTCCTTGGCTCACATCCTATCCTTTCCCTCTCCTGGAAGCCCAGACAACTGGCTCTCCACCCCCTTAAGCCCTTGTCCTTAGACCAAAATTCCCAGCCCAAGTTAGAGGAGAGAATGTTCCTAGGACCAGAGGTGGAGTTGGGTAGGGACGGAAGGGACCCAGACTGGGGGTCAGCCAGAGCTCAGGGAAGACACTCACCAGGGGTGCCACACCTGGGATCCACATGGCCAGGGAGTGGCCCTGCTTCAGCACCCGGGCTGTGGTCTGGAAGGTGTGCCGGGAGAGGGTGTTGGCCAGGGCCCCAACCCTGTGCATGAGGCTTGGCTTGGCTTTGGGGGGGCTTTTGGGTCTGCTGGTGTCCTGGAGCAGGCGCTGGGTGGGATTTGGTGGGAAAGAGAGGAAAGCCAATCAGAGACAAGAGAAGCTGGGGCTGTGTCTAGGGTTGGAAAGTGGTTATGGAGCTCCACAAGTCTGCTGGTGACTTGGGTCACTCCCTTTCCCCACTTACAAATGGGGAGAGGAGGCTAAATTAGGATAGTTCACTCTGGAAATCTTGTTGGGCCTTCCCCGCTCCGGGGCCGTGGCTGGCTGAGCCCCGGCTGCCTCTTGCTGATTCCCAGGCAGCATGGGTCCCCAACCCACTTCCCAGGGAGGGTCTGCCAGCCCCCCTAGTGGTAGATACCTGACTCTTCCTTGGCTGAAGGGAGGAGAAACTCTACCATCTTCTCAACACCACCCAGGGCTAAGTCGGCCCCTCCAGAGGCCAGCCGGCCAGCTCGGGTGTTGGCGGCATATTCGGCAGTGTCTTTGGCTACCCCCCAGGCAAGCTCACAGCTGGCCAGAGCGGCCCCCAGGACCTTGTCTGAAGTGCTGGCGATAGGCACGCTGATGCTGTTCCTGGCACTGCGAAGGCGGGTAGAGATGGTGTCCTTCAGCTCAGAGGCAATCTGGGGGAGATGGGGCAGGGAGTCAGGCCTGTCGGTCTGGTAGGCCTGAGCCTGGCCTCCAGGAAGGCCTTATTTAAAGGCTCAGGGGAGAGGCAGCTGGCCGGCTCAGCTAGTAGAGCGTGGGACTCTGGAGCTCAGGGTCATGAGTTCCAGCCCTACACTGGGCATAGAGCGTACTTAAAACAAAATAAAGGCCCAGGGGAGGGGCACCAATATCTGGGCTCCTTAATTAACCCGGGCTTTAAAGGGAAAGGGCTCCGGTCCTCCCTGTGCATGATCTCTTGGCGTCTTTGCACCCCACTTCTGCCTGGCAACATCCTAACCAACCTTACCCCCCAAAGGCCACCTCCTTGATGACACCTAGCTTGACATTCGCAGGCACACAAGGCGTCGCCACTCGCAAATGCCTCGAATGTCTTGTCTGTCCTTCCCTCAGAACGTGCTCCCATTCCCATCTGCATTTAGGTTGATTCAGACCTGTGGGTCATCTTCCTACCAGTTCCTTATTGAAATAATTTATCTTTCTTTCCTATTAGTCTGGGAGCTCTTTGGCGACAAAGAGGCTCCTCATCTGGAAAAACGTGGGGCACACAGGCCTCAGAGCCCAACAGGATTGCTTTCACGTGGCCTCCATGGAAGGCTGTGCGCCCAGGGAGAAGTCACTAGTTTTCCCATCTGTAAAAGGGGGATACCCACACTGTCCCAGAGGGCTGACAAGAGGATTAGATGGGAGGCCTCCATAAATCGTACTGTGGCCCCCGGCATAGGGCGGGGCTCAGTAAATGTTTGTGGGATGAGTAGACAGTTGGTCAGCGAGATGAAGCTCCTTCCCCACAGCACGTGACATGGCCCTTGTCTAGTAAATGCCCAGTGCGTACGCAGCGAGGTAAAGTGACTGTTTCAGTCCCATGGTCCATAGAGGACTGGATCTTGAGGACCTGGGACTGCAAATTTGGGATCTGATGAGTGTGGCCCATGATCTTAGGTGACTAGACTTACCACGTGGCCCAGTACAGGCTCACTGGGTATCCTGGGGCAGGGAAGGTGGAATGGGGGGGACCAGAAGCAGTGGGACCCACCCTAAGCCCCTGTTTCAGTTTACCTCCTAGGCTGAGCTTGCTTTCCAGAAAACCTGCCTTCATTCGACACCACGAGGAGAGGAATGAGCCCACTGTGTGGCCTAAGGGGCAGGCAGCCACCCCCAAGCCCGGAGGGCACTCATCGTAGAAATGAAAGGCTGGCACTCATGGCCCCATCAGCCTGTGCCCTCTCCTCCTGAGAGGCAGGACAGCAGAGGACGGGGCACGTTAGAGAAGACGAAAGAGCCTCACCTTTTCAGGAGGGTACTGGAGGGCTGGGATCTTCTCCTCCAGGTGGTCCAGGCCTCGGCAGGCCAGCTCGTTGGCAGCTACGACTAGAAGCAAAGGCCACAGTGCGGTGAGCCACAAGGACCTAGCAGGGGCCTCTGTGCCGAGGAAGGGGCCCTAGAGCCCTCGAGAGCCCCCAAGTCTGCTGCCTCCAAAGCACCTTGGAACCCGAGCCCCCCGCCAAGCCCCTTGAGCTCCCCGTCCTCTGTGACTCCTTGAGCCAGGCTGGTGTCCTCGCCCTGTGTAGGAACTCTGGAGTCAGGCAGATCCGCGCTCAGAGCCTGGAGCGTCCCTCTGCAGAGTGCGGCTCTGGGTAAGTCACTGCATGCCTCAGCCTCAGCTTCCCCGTCCGTCAGATGTGGACGAAGGGTGCCTGCCCTGCAGGGCTGTGGTGAGGAGGAAGTGGCAGGAATTCTGTGAATCACCAGCAAATACTGGGCTCCCCCTCCACGTCCTCCCTCTTCTCTGGGTGAGGTCTGGGCTGGCAGGAAGGACGAGGTGTGAGAGAAGCAGTGGCAGCGCCCTCGGATGGGCCTTGTGGGGGTGGGACCGGCACTGCTTCATCCTCGAGGTGACCAAGTCCGAGCTGCAGCCAGCCCAGGCCCTGAACTGTCCATGTCCTTCCTTCCAGCCTCTAGGAGTGAGATGATCAATGGTGGGAAGAGGGTGGCAGGGGGAGAGAAAGGAGTTGCCCCCAGAGAGGGGAGCAAGTGCCAGGGGACACAGATGCTTTTAGGGGGTACAGGCTGCTGAGGACAGAGCTCTGCAGTCATGATCACGGAGATTAGTTCTCTGTGATTTCATACACTCTCTCTCCAGATAGCTCACATTTCCTCACAACATCCTCCAGTAGCAGAGGGCCCAGGTGACTTGGGCCATCTTCGGACTGGGCAAAGTGAGACCCAGGGTAATTACTGAAGGAGTCTGTGGGCAGGGAGGCTGGCCCAGGGCGGAATCCTCGGACACCCATAATTCTCTAATGAGGATGGTGGAAGGTCCTAGACTCCTTGGTGCTGCTGGAGATTCCCTCGGCCCTGTCAAGAGCCTTGCCTTGGATGCACTTGGGATGGGCCCCGGGTGATGTGCAGAAGTGCTGAATCACTATGTTATATGCCTGAAACGAACACGCCACTGTATGTTAGCGATCCTGGAATTAGAGAGGTCGTCCTGTCCCCCTCGGCCCCTCCCCAGGCTCTGCCAGGCCAGACCTGCTTCTGTGTCAGACTCTGCCAGCTCCGCAGCTGCTGCCAGATTTGGGGCCGAAGTGGGCGTCTGGTCGACCACGAGCCCCACTCCCAACACTGCCCACACAGCTCTGCCCATCCCTTCCCCTGCCCGTGCTTTGGCCCATCACTGTCATCCCAGGAAAATGTCATCTGGGCTGTAGATGGGACATCTCCGGATGAGGAGAGACGTAGGTCCACATCTGTACCTGTCTCTACAGCCGTCTAGCTGTCCATACTGCAGCATCTCCGTCCGTAGAGAAGATCATGTAACGGGATGTAGGTGGTTAGAAACGCCACCGGACAGCCAAGAAGGCACACAGACATGTCAGGAGACAGACAAGCAAGCTCTCAGACAGAAAGACGGACAGATAGGTGGCGCCCTGCCGGTGCCCCAAGGACTCACACTGGGTGGACAGCCTGCGGACCACCGGCTCCATGCTCCAGGCCGCCAGGCTGCTGGCGCCCTGCACGCCCTTCTCGTAGGCATTGCAGACAGAGGCCACCAGCGGGTGGGCTTCCTTGGTGCTGGCGTAGGTCTTCTGGAAACACTCACAGGTGCCGCTCACCACCGGCAGCTGCAGGACCCGCTGCAAGGCGCTCTCCTGCTCCTGGCTCGGAGGGAAGGCAGGCAGGCAATCGAGGGGTTCCCCGCATGCTCCCGCCTCGCGGGAAAGCAGCCCCGGGGTCATGGAGCCCACTGCTGAGGCTAGCCTGGGTCCCAGGGACCTAGGAGGAGCCCATGCCGCAGCGGTCTCTGGATGGCCCCCAGGAAAAGCCACAGCCAGCCTGCTGTGCTCTCCTGGTTCAATCCAGGCTCTGCAGAGCTACAGGGTCGCGGCCTCCCTGCCCCTGTGTGGGCTGGTCCCAGGCCGGGCGCGCTCCCCTTCCCTGCCATACCCGCTCCCTCCACACAGCTTGAGCATCCCTGCCGCTGGGAAGCTTCCGAACCCTCCTCCTTCACATCAGCCCTCCCCTGGCTCATCTCCACATCCCTCGCAAGGCCCTGGGATCGTGTGTACTCGTCTCTCTCCCAGCCCACTGTCATCGCTGCATCCCCAGTGCCCAGCCGAGGGCTGGTGCAGCGAGGCTGGCTGAACAAATGGAAGGGTCAGGGCTGTGCCTAGGAGGGGTAAGTTGGGATCTGCCCAACTGCACAGAATCACAGACGTTTAGGCCTCCGGGAGCCTCTGTAGCCAAAGGGCTTCCCACAGTCTTTCTGGCAGGTTTGTATTTTTATTTTTTAAAAATTTTTTCCATTTCTTCATTTAAAAAAAAATTAAATTCAATTAATTAACATATCATGTGTTATTAGTTTCAGAAGTAGAGGTCAGTGGTTCATCAATCTTATGTGATATCCGGTGCTCATGACATCACATGCCCTCCTTAATGTCCATCGCCCAGTGACCCCATCCCTCCATGTTCCTCCCCTCCACCGCAGGCTCAGATTGAGATGCCTCCTGGGATGGACCTTGCCCCTCATAGGGTGGCCCATGGCCCTTGTTGGACAGCGCTGCTGAGCTGTGGTGTGCCTGCACCCGCCACTCCACCCCTGACCTCTGGAACAACACCGAGCAAATCTTATTTCATCATGCATGGGCTGGCCCTTCACATATCTGAAAGCAGTGTCTGCCTTTAGTGCTCCTTCCTCCGTGCCAAACAGCCCTAGATCCTAACTTAGCTTACTGGCCTGGTCTGGTGGTCCCCTCCAGATATGCCACAGTTTAGTGTGGTCTTTCTTAAGCATATGGCACTCCAAATTGAAGACACCATTCCAAGGGTGGTCTGAGCACGCGGGGTATTGTGAACCTGCCGCTTCTCATTACTGGGGTGCTGTGCTCTTATTAATGCAGTCATAAAATGAAAATGTCACCCCGGAACCTCAGCGAACAAACACTGGTCTTTGAGGAAAGCATGTGGGTTCTAGTTCTGCACAGGGAAATATTTACTTGGGGCCATTATGGTCCAGGCACTGATCAGGGTGCTTGGGGGACAAGGCCTGAATTCTAACAGTGACCTCTGAAGTCAGTGCTAACACTTTGCGGGTGAGGACACAAAGACCCAGAGATGTGAAGTGACTTATCCAAGATCACACAGCAAGAGTCAGGATTCCAACTCCGGCCTGAAATGGCATATCTGCAAGATTCACTTTGAAATATCGCCCGGTGGGGGAGTAAATGAGAGCGCCAATGAGGCAGGACGGGATTGATAATGGCTGTTGCCGTTAGGGCAGAACATTACTATTCTTCTGTCCACTCTTAGGACTGCCAAGAATTCTCCTCGTGAAAAGTAAAGACAGAAAGCTCCCGAGGTCCTGACTCGGACACTGGAGCTCTCTCTGCAGTTCCACGGTTCTGCTCTGGAGGCAAGGACCTGGTCTCTTCTCTTTGTAGGCTGAGTTAGGAGACCCATCAAGGAAACTCGTAACAGCAGGCTCCCATGTTTTAGCTTTCATTTTGCAGACAACTTTGAAGTTTGAACTAGAAAAAGATTATGACTGTAAACAAGGGAATATTTTAACATTTGGACAGAGCCTTTGGGGGTTGTTGTAGGCAAAGCCACAGAGGGAGAGAGAGGTCCTGGCAAGGTGGAAGAGAATAAACCACCAACCATTAGGCTGGGTTAACTACACACTGATTCATTTTACGCCTCTGTGTTCTATGATTTAATATAAAACTTGGTGGTGATTCTGAGTGCAAAAGTTAGCTAAAACCTAAGTTGGAACAAGATGGGCATTATATGAGCTCACAGTTTTTAAGTTTCACCGATGATGTGAACTGTGCCTAAATGAGAGAGGCCTTGCCTGGAGGGGTTGGGTACCCCTAAACGTGTCACACCGCCCCAAGTCACAGTGAAAACCAGGCTAGACACAAAACCCCGGAAACAATGTTCCTCTAACCCTTTCCCATATGCAGCACAGGCTGTGCGTTGTATAACTCCGAGAGGGGCCATTCACATATTCTAGAACACGCTCAACGCCCCGCAGTGACAGAATGCAGAGGCCTGGCATTTGAATCTACATCCTGCCTGGGGGGACAAGGTGACGGCTTCTGCACCAGGGTTTAGAACACAGTAGTTCCCTTCCTCTCCTTACCCACTCAGCCAGTATTTCTGTTCTTTTCCTCCAAGGTGCTCAGTTTTTGGTAGGCACTCCCCCCATCCTCTAAGAGCCCCCTGCAAAAAGTACTAAGAGCAAGAATAATGAAGACATAATGGCCAGTGAGAGGGGATATAATGGAGACATAACTTGTTCTGAGTCCCCTGAATCTCTCCTCCCTGCTCCTTCCTCCCTCACACAGTGGTTCCTCCACTTCCCATATAGGCCCAAGTTACTTACGGGGAGGTCTCCATCCAGCAAGGCTGGGCCCTTGTTGACGGCCGTCATAGCTCTTCAAGCTGCAAAGCAGAGTCCCAGGTCCATTAGAAAGCCCTGAGCTTGAGATCTGCAGGGTCAGTCCCCTACCTCTCATGGTTCTGGCGAGGCCCAGGCTGCTGGGGAGCTCCAGCTCCCTCACCAGAAGACATTAGGTCGGAGCGCGAATGTCACAGACAAGCAGCCACAACCTAGACCCCACTATGGGGAGCTGCCCCGCAGCCTACTTGTTAACTGAAGTTTCTTATAAGGGTTCAGGGTAAGAAATGACAAATAAGGGTAGCTTTAAGAAATGAGGGGTTTTAGATGATGGTAAGGGGTCCACACATGAGAATCCAAAAGAGACTAAAAGAATAAATTTCAGGGTTAGTCTTTTTTTGATGAAAAAGTTCTCCATCAATTTCTCTCTTTTTAAGTGAGCGTACCTGCCAGTCCTTCCCAGAATGCTCAACCAGGAAGCAACTCGTCACTTAAAACCAGCCATTCCAGCTGTGTTCTGGGAAAGCTGGCACCCCAGAATATCTACCCTCCACTCTTGGTCATTCGCCTTGAATCATCTCTCCCTCAGTGGTTTCCCTGCAGCCCTCTTCATCTTCAGGGCAACTCTCAGGGGAACCCCTACCTTCAGCTTCTTTCCTTTAACTCTTGAAAACCAACCAGGTAAGGCAGATGTTCACAGGGCCCCACACTCGCACGAACGAACGCTGCCTCAGTCCCACACAGCCAGGCTGCGAGTGGCTCCCCCAGCAGAAGCAACGCCAGCCAGTGGCTCCAGGGATGCCTTGGGCAACACTGCCAAAGCGTCCCTGTCGGAGGAGGGCGGAGTGGAAGAGAGTGCTGGGTCAGGCGGTTGTCATGGTTATTTGAGCCAGGGTCCTCTGCGCACGTCCAAACTTCTGTAAGATTTGAGCAACTAGGAGGAGGACCGCAGAGCTGAGAGCGATCCGGCCCCAGGGGAGGGATTGTTCCAGAGCCATGAAATATCAGCTCTGTAACATGTCTCTGGCTCCCAGTTCTCAAAAAACTGTCTTCCAGAGGGAAGGTGTCGGAAAATAAGTCATATAACTCATAAATTGTCAAGTTCTATAATCTTTGGCTCCTTTTTCACAGTGTTCTGTGGACCATTTTTAACCCATTTCCTTCATCCAGTATTATTTACTATTAAGAGTGTATTTTGAACAGTAAGATTTAAACCCACACAGGAACAGAGTTCACCTCAATGTGCCACTCTTTGATTACGATAAATTGCTCTTGGGGCGCCTGGGTGGCTCACTCGGTTAAGCATCTGCCTTCAGCTCAGATCATGATCTCAGGGTTCTGGGATTGAGCTCTGCATTGGGCTCCCTGCTCAGTGGGGAGCCTGCTTCTCCCTCTCCCCTGCCCCCCACCCCACCCCTACTTGTGAGTACACTCTCCCTCTCTCAAATAAATAAATATTAAAAAAAAAAAAAGAAAAAAGATTGTTCTCCATAAAGAAAAGGACCAGAACCAGGGGTTGACTCTAAACTTTGAGGGACCCATTTCAACCTGTGAAAATTGCTAGATTTCAAGGAAGCTTATTGAACTCTACTGGTCTACGGTACCACCAGAAAATGCCTCGGGAGAGTCAACTGGACTTTGCTGAGTCTGGAGAAGTGTGCTGACCGGGATCCTCTTCCTGATCAACAGCAACCAGACAACCAAGAACTATCACCTCTCATCTCTTCCTCAGCAACAAATCAGGCAGGAGCCCAAGTTCTAGTTCCTGGATTCAGAGATGATAGAGGACTGTGGTGTAAGCTATAGTTTTCAGATTATCTAAGAACGGCCTTTTAAAATGGGTAACGGGTTGGGGTGGGGGGCATCAGGCTGGCTCAGTCGACAGAGCATGCAACTCCTGATCTCAGGGTCAGGAGTTCGAGCCCCATGTTGGGGCTTTATTAATAATAAAAAGGATAATGAAGGGACAAAGCTGATTTTCCTTGTTGTTGGTAGAATTACCTCTATTGTTGACTCTCCACTAAGTTGTTGCTGTGGGCAACAGGAGAAAGTGGCAAGGAGATGGGGAGATTTCTGATGGATCCTTGGTAATCCTGTACCTGTGATATAAGGCAGGGAAGAGGTCAGAAACAGAGAGTCAAAGAGGGAGCCTCCAAAAGGAGTTATAAGTACATGATACGTTTAATACTTATTGATCCAACTTAGACTTTTAAAATACAAGACAGTAATGGAGAGGAAAGGAAGCATCTAAAAAAGGAGCCTCTACCCTCACTTCAAGGTTCAGGACGAATTATCCAGGAGGCTCTGTCTGGATTGCAAACTGGGCCAAAGGGCGGTTCCAAGCCTTTGGAGTCATGGCTCTGGGCCAGACAGTGTATAGGGCTCCGTGCTGGAAAGCTCTGCTGATAAAGCCAGTCCTCTGGCAGCTTTGGCTGGGAGTCCACAATGTGGGTGAGAGGTGAGAAGCGGTGAAAGGGCACAGGGCAGTCCCCTGGGAGCAGTCTGTCTTCCAGCCCCAGCTTGAACGACACAGAGTTACGGTCTCTCCTCCCCTCACCCTCCACCTTCCCACAGGAGCATAGGGACCTTGGTCCTCCCGTGCACAAGTGGACCCCTAAGCTAAGCTCGGCATTCAAAGCTTCATTGCTCGGTCAACTCTCAGGGAACAGCGTTCAGCTGTGAATGTGCTGGCCTGTCATCTGTTAGGAATGCCTTTGGTTTTTTTTTTCTTTTTAAGATTATTTACTTATTTTTTTTTAAGATTTTATTTATTTACTTGTCAGAGAGAGAGAGGGAGAGAGAGCAAGCACAGGCAGACAGAATGGCAGGCAGAGGCAGAGGGAGAAGCAGGCTCCCTGAGGAGCAAGGAGCCCGATGTGGGACTCGATCCCAGGACGCTGGGATCATGACCTGAGCCGAAGGCAGCTGCTTAACCAACTGAGCCACCCAGGCGTCCCTATTTACTTATTTGACAGAGAGAGATCACAAGCAGGCAGAGAGGCAGGCAGAGAGTGAGGGGGATGTAGGCTCCCCACGGAGCAGAGAGTCTGATGCGGGGCTCGATCCCAGAACCCTGAGACCATGACCTGAGCCGAAGGCAGAGGCTTTAACCACTGAGCCACCCAGGCGCCCCACACCTTCGGTTTTTAAAATCCCTCATGAATGTAGAGGCTTGGAGGTAGGAGGGTTCGTTAGAAATGGGAAAGATGCACAGGGAGGGAGGTACGAGGGTACTGTTGAGGTTTTCACAAATTCCAGAACAGGCGGTATTCCTTAAGCTCCCCATCACCCCCCCGAAATTGCAGAGGACAAAAGTACCGAGACGGATGCTGCCATAACCGGCCACCACAGATTTGAAGCCTACTTCTCCAGGCAGAAGCCAGAGTGCCACCTGACAGAGCTGAGACAGGAGACGCCGTCCTGGAGGAGATCCCCTCAGAGGTCTCTTTCCACTCCGATGTTCCAATCTAAAATCTTTCTTCATCCTCCTCCTCGGCGTGGATCTTCCAGGCAAGAGCTCATTTTACCAGAGCAGCTCTACCAGCCGTGTACCCCGTGATCACCTCTGACTCGCCCTCCTCTCAGCTCTTCCTCATTCCCAGGACACACTCACAGATACTGGAGTCTCTTTTGTCTAGAAATTTATTAGACATAATTAATCTATGACAGTAGAGGATCTGGACAAAGTAAAATTAGTTGCTCAAACTTTTTACTTGCCCTGACCTAGCAGCTTTCGATTCACTTAAAATTCCCGAAGTATTTTCTCAAATCCCATTACCTTGATTAAACACTTTAAAAATAAGAGCGCCAAGGACCTGAGTCTGCTTTTTAAGAATCTCATTCACATTTATGGGAAACATTTAGTGCGCATTTCTTTTCTCATTTCCATTCAGGTAAGTGAAATGGCTTCACTTACCATGTGAAATGATAGGACTGACATTGACCTCCCACCTGGCCACAACCTATTTTTCTGCTTCACTTCCCCCAAATCAGGGGATCTGCAACCAACAAAGAACTCAACAGCCCAGATGGGAAGTGGGACCATGAATAAATGGCCTTTTCCTCATTGCTCTTTTCCACTCCCCCAACCGCCCCACACATATGAAGTCTGATTTCTCATAGAAAATGGTGATGCTCCTCCGTTCAGAGTACTCATGAAATTTCTTAACTACGTAACTGTTGTTGAAAATTAACGTAGCCGTGCCCGAACTGTTATATGACTTTAAATAAAAAAATGTGGCTGGTGAATCTAGATAGAGCTTTAATTTTTCTATAAACCACTAACAAAGTTCTAAAAAAGGCTTTTCACACAGGATTCCGGAGTCTCACACCTCTACTCAGTCAGGAAGGCAATGAACTATCCTTGAAAAACACTGGATTTGGAGTCTGAGGAATGAGGTGCTGGTGTGTTTTTTTTAACCGGTTTCCTCATCTGTCACAGGCTACCCACAGGCACCTGTCATGACCTCCCATACTATGGGGCCCCCAGTCCTTTCTACGTGCTTCTCATCTTTGTTTTCTCGCTGTACTACCTAAAGTCACCATTTCTACCACGAAGGTGCCTGATGCATTTCTGATTGTACTTCTGGACAGAGGAAGGGAAGGACTGCCATGATGAAAGGCTGTAAGGGGGGGTCATGGGCCTCTAGGAAGAAGCCATGTGGGGGTTGGGGGGTTGGTATCTGGTCAGAGGAGGAAGAGCTCTTTACTAGGTCTGAGAGAGGGCTGGTGTCAGACCTATGGTAGTTGTGCAAAAGCAGCGAGGAGCACACCCCAAAGGCTGCTGCATATTAATGTTCAACTGTTTGGGCCTTTTTCAATTGTTATACATTTAGCAAACAATGAGCTCCCACTATGAGCGTAAGATGCTCAATAAATGTTAGACGAAAGGAAAATACTCAGAAATTCAGAAGTCACTCCAGCCCTCTAAAAAACACCTATAAATTTTCATGCGCCCCATTCACCATTCTTGGCCCCACCTCTGCTCACACCACTAGTTGCTAAATGCTCCCACGAACAAGTCTTTAAGCGCCGCTTGACGTGGTCTGTGCCTCACGCAGACGCACCCTAGACGCTATCTTTCAAGCAGGCGCCGGTCTCCACCCGAAACCACTTCAGTGCACCCTCAGCTTCATCTGCGGATACGCCACGACGATGATGCCCGCTATGGAGGACACAAGACCTCCAAGTCCAATGATGCCAGGATTGGACTTATAGATCCCCAGCTGGTCCAAAGGGTTCAAGAGATCGCAGAAGTTCTTCACTGTGTCCAGGAGCAAGGGCGGGTGCTTCTTCAGAGATCGGAACAAGAGGAGGAGGAAGGCCTGGAGCCATTCTGTTTCCTCATTGGCCACGCTGTACCCAAGAGGCTCCTGAGACAGTGACTGCTCCATCCTCGCCCTGTCGCGTGCAGCCTGTTCCATCTGCAGGGAGAGTTCGTACAGGTCCCTGGCCAGGCTCAGTAGCAGACAATAGTAGTAGTGGCGGACAGCCCACATTCGCCATTTCTCTTTGTTAATGCCGGAGGCAAGGCCTACGCTCCTCACCCAGAGGACGGTATCACAGATGAAATAAATCACACGGTTCACGTTGGCTAACGTCAGGCATATGCGGGGCACCAGGTCAGTGGCGTGAACGCTCTGCTGGGTCGCCTGCACAGCATGTACCAGGTTGCCTAATCTGAACCCTGCGAGAAGAACCCACAATGGTTAACGAATGTCGAATTACTAGGTCATATGAAGGCAGAAGCCCTGTATTGGGGTGAGAGGCCAGCACTGGTGTGTTGACTACTATGTGAGGCTCAGTCTTCGCTCAGGAATCAGGAAGGACTTTACAGTATATTAAGGACACCGAAAATGATCCTGGCAGGCACAAAAGACAGTGATTCTTTAAAGTTACCACCTTCATTCCAGTGAACAGCTTAACACTGGCTTACTGCACCCTTCAGGCAAGGTCAGTCATGAGTGCGGACTGTGACATCCGAATATGACCAGCTATACTTCTTTAGAAGAAAAGTTCTATAACATGAAGTTTAGATGCAACTTTAGTTAGTTAGTTACTTATTTCTGCACATAGGAAGCTTTGATTCCCTGTGGCCATTTCTCTGACCCAGATGCCAACAATCTTTTGGCGAGTCTAATGCCTTAGATTTTATTTACTTTCCAGACAAAAGATGGCTTTTCTTATAAAACATCATTATCATCTGTGTGGTCCAAACCCCCTCTGGCTCCCTACTCAGGAAGACAAAGTAGAGACGGTAGGAGTTAGTGGCTAGGAAACCATTAATATTGTCGTCAGTGACTCCTAGTTGAATTAAATCCACCACTGCAAGGCGTATCCTCCTCTGAACACGTAATTCAGTTCATCAGGGATGTAGCAATCAACAGATATGTCTTGAGCACCTACCCAGAAGGAGTTATAATCCTACGCATTATGGAGAATACAAAAAAAGTACTTTCCTTAAAGGACTATATCCCACACTCAGCAAATGCTCAAAAGTAGCTACCCTCAAAGACTTATAATCTCACGAAAATGTCTGGTATGATTTTATCAAAAATACACAAACCAGGGACGCCTGGGTGGCTCAGTTGGTTAAGCAGCTGCCTTCGGCTCGGGTCATGATCCCAGCGTCCTGGGATCGAGTCCCACATTGGGCTCCTTGCTCATCAGGGAGCCTGCTTCTCCCTCTGCCTCTGCCTGCCATTCTGTCTGCCTATGCTTGCTCTCTCTCCCCCTCTCTCTAAAAAAAAAAAATACACAAACCAGACTGTGTAATGAACTATCCTGGGTTCCAGTTCTGGCTCTGGCATCAACTGGCTGAATGAACCTGGGTAAGTCCTTTCCAGACTTCAGAACCTTACCTCTAAAGGACCTGTAAGCTCTAACATACTAAAAAATCTGAAAACTTCTAATCCTATCCTTCAAAGCCATCCAAAAAAGCTCGTCCTATCCTCCAACATCCCTCCACTTGACAACTTAACTGCTCTGTCGAGCTAGTTTCCTCATGACCTTCTAATACAATGGTTTGCTCGTAACAATTCTGAGCCTTCGCAGGGGAAATCACCCTTCAAGGCTTTCCTTCCCTTTCTCTCTTAGCTACGCCTCAAGTTCCACCGCCTCCCAAACCTTTTTCCCCGCCTCTATCCTAGCTAATATATCTGGCACTAAATCTTATATCATTATTTATACAATGCAATCTTTTTTCTCTCATAAAGCTCAGCTATACCTAAAGCAGGTGCTCAAAAATGATTGTTCAGGGTCCCCTGGGTGGCTCAGTGGGTTAGGGCTTCTGCCTTCGGCTCGGGTCATGATCCCAGGGTCCTGGGATCGAGCCCCGCATCGGGCTCTCTGCTCGGCGGGGGGCCTGCTTCTTCCTCTCTCCCTCTGCCTGCCTGTCTGCCTACTTGGGATCTCTGTCTGTCGAATAAATAAAATCTTTAAAAAAAAAAAAATGATTGTTCAACATGGGATTTCTACATTCCATTCTAACCTCTCTGCCTGCCTACTGTAGGCAGAAGCTCATGTCAAGGATGGCCAAGACACTGCCTAACTCTAAGAACTAAAGGTGAGCTAACTAACACAGGCTATGATTAAGCAGAAAGATACAGTGTAGCACCAACTGTGCACAAAGGAGGGTGTTTGTGAACAGTCTGCAGCAAAACATTCAGTCTTCTTGGCCTCTCCTTTCGTGAGGGCAGCCTTCCTGGTCGACTTCACCAAAAAACCTCGAGGATTAGAAATTAAAGATCTGGGGGCACCTGGGTGGCTCGGTGGGTTAAGCCTCTGCCTTCGGCTCCGGTCATGATCTCAGGGTCCTGGGATCGAGCCCCACATCGGGCTCCCTGCTCAGCAGGGAGCCTGCTTCTCCCTCTCTGCCTATCTGCCTACTTGTGATCTCTGTCAACTAACTAACTAAATAAATAAATAAAATCTTAAAAAAAAAATTAACGATCTAGAGAGTATTTTGTGAACTGCAGGGTCTGACGATCTGAAACCGGGAGCCACTGTCCCTCACGAGATAGGGTACTTACATTTGCGGCCAGTGCTCACACTGGTCTCCAGTTTCTTGAGCTTCATTACCACCTTCTCTTTGCCAGCTTTAGGCTCTAACAAGTATCTAAGCAACATGCATGTGTACTGAGTGGCTCTGGAATGGAAAAAAAAAATGAGGAGAATGATTTACAAGCCAAATGAAATTTGATTCATGAAGTAAGGAAAGGAGGAACACGTGTTGCTAAAAGCGAAGTTTCCAAGACAAGTTCTCACATAAGTGGCTTTTACAAGAGCATAATTCTGCAACAGTCACTCCACGGGGCTAAAGGGCAGAACGTGGGACGGAAATGTGACACAAAGGTAATGAAACAGAACGGTGAGGTAACAGTGAACAGCCCTTCAAATGGCCTGTTGCTGGCACAGAGAAATGGGTAGAGTCAAAGTGGAAACGGCACAAAAATCTCCCTCGTACTAAGTCTGCAGCAATCCCTATTCTTTCTTTTCTCCTGTGTAGAACGATTTTTCTGATTTCTAAAATGAACCTTTTACCTATCGCCAACGACTTATGTGATCAGACACACTCCAACCAGAACCGAACGAAAAGTTCGGTTGTGAATTTTTTGTAAAAGGATCAAACACACACCAATGCATGAATATGTAGAGATATGTTTTTACATTTGTCTTTCAAAACTAGTTAGAATTTGGGGGTGCCTGGGTGGCTCAGTGGGTTAAGCCTCTGCCTTCAGCTCGGGTCATGGTCTCAGGGTCTTGGGATCGAGCCCCGTATCGGGCTCTCTGCTCGGCGGGGAGCCTGCTTCCCCCTCTCTGTCTGCCTGCCTCTCTGCCTGCTTGTGATCTCTGTCAAATAAATAAACAAAATCTTTTAAAAAAAATAACTAGTTAGGATTTTATATAAATACGGACTCCTGCTTAATAGTAGCCAGTAAAGCGATCATTGTTATGACTACAAGTAACACTGCCTCATTAACAGCAATGGAACCCATGAGAAATCCTGTGTCACATGCTCGAACATCTAAACGCACTAGAATCTATTTAACGAAGTGGGTGCCTGTTTCCCACAAGCCTCTAACTGCACTGGAATCCCTTCAGGCTATAGATAGGATTCTCAATAAAAATGGGGCACATTTTCCGAAATGGAGAACCTGTTATTGCGGATGAAGTAAAAAGAATTTTTAAAGCAGTTTCCTGGCTATAGGGCTCAAGTCGGTCATGCCAGTAAGTCCCCTTCTCAGATTTGGGCTAATAACAGCCATGTGTCCAAAACCCAGGTATTATTTTACGAATGCCAGTTAGTTCACAGGAGCTATCGATCACCACGGAGCTTGGGAAATGAATCCTAGAGATCTCAGATCTTGGTGAAAAGTATATCTAAAACAATTATTTTACTAACCAACCTCCCTAATAAACCTTGCAGGGTACATTCCAAGTGCACTGCATTTGAAGCCTTCTTTTTAATGAAGCTTGTACACAGTGTGACCATTTAAAAAAACCTATCAAATAAATTACTACAGTGGTATGGGCTGGTCACTACCATGGTGGTGGGCATGAGAGTTACCTGTGTGGATTTAAATCTCAGCTCTGCCACTGTGTTACTATTAACCTCCTGCTTCAGTGTCCCTATCTGTGAAATGGGAATCATTTAGAATATCTACCTCTCAGGGTTGTGATGAGGGTTAAATGGATTAATAGCGGTAACATGTTGAGAACAAAATCTGGCATCAAGTCGGTTTCGGAAAGTCTCGTGATCGGGGCTCTGCACACTGGCCTGTTTGTGTGAGCCCTGGCACACTCAGAAGAGAAGGGAAAGCTGTTAAATGAAACCACAACCCTAATTATTCCTTCTTTATTACTGAGCAAGAATCAACCAAATTTCTAAAAGAAACATCATGAACTAATTAGTATGAAAGCACAACCTCTGTTCCGTATTTTCAGTAGCATAGCGGGTACCGCGGAGGTGCAGTCAGCCCTGTCTGGCGCTCTCCACACAGTACCCAGTTTGACAGTTCACAGAACTATCTCACACGCAGAATCTTGCAGCGGCCAAGAGCAGGCTGCCCTCAAATGTCCCCATTGATTATTTTTTTAAAAAGTTACTTAAGGGGCGCCTGGGTGGCTCAGTGGGTTAAAGCCTCTGCCTTCGCCTCGGGTCATGATTCCAGGGTCCTGGGATCGAACCCCATATCGGGCTCTCTGCTCAGCAGGGAGCCTGCTTCCCTTCCTCTCTGTCTGCCTCTCTGCCTACTTGTGATCTCTGTCTGTCAAATAAACAAAATCTTAAAAAAAAAAAAAAAAAAGTTACTTAAGAAACAGCCAGTGCAGGGACACTCAAGACCCTCCTCTGTCCCCCAGAAAGCAGGAAACACATCTTCTCCCATGTGAAAAATACCTTCCCTATACTGAGGAAGTTGAAAGACATCCTTATTACCAGAGATAGGGGCTCTAAAACTGAGAAAGTTGTAGAAGCAAACCTCGTTACTTTTTCCTGATCCTACTACTCTCAGATCCCGCCGGCTCAAGAGAAATTTCTGCCCCTCCCTTAATTACATAGAATCTAAATTGAGGGTCTTTCCTAGAATAAGCGTTATTAGCAGAGATAAATTTTATCTGAATGACCCATCTGTATGGTCGGGCAAACATTTAATTACCAAATATCTGCTCTCCTTATGACTGTAAAATGCATTCCTTTCCTCTGAAATCCCAGACCTCTACTCCCTTCTCCTTAGCTCAGCATGAGACAGACACACACACACACACACACACACAAAACACCCCTCGTTTTCCTCTCTTTGGAATTTTCATGTCTATGGAGATACCCTGTGTACACCTGTTAAATTTGATTTTCTCTTTTTAATCTGTCTCAGGTCAACTTGATTCTTAGTCTAGCTAGAAGGATCTTTGAGGGAACAGGAATTCTTTCTCCCTGACAAACTTTAATCATATCTTTAACCATGGCCATTTTAAACTTTTTTGTCATTCTTACATTTTTACTCAGATCCTTTTACAAAAGCTTCCTGCAAATGTGTTTCATCTTGAGAGATTCATAAAAAGGAACTTTGACAAATACAGGTTTCCGATAACCTTAAGATCATAAAAGTGAACTTGGAAAGAATTTCTGGAACTAACAGGAGAACCGAATTTAAGCAGATCAAGAATAAATAACATGGGATTAAATGAACTGAGAAGGATAATTATAATTGTGACATTTTTGCTTGAAATATTGATAAATTTTTAATGTTTTGTTCTCCAGATTTAAGAAAATTTCTTCTCTTAAGCTATGATTTACAACAATTTCTTTTTTCTCCCTATCTGATCCCTGCAGAATTCAAAAACACCCATTGAATTCTTATATATTTTTGACAACATATTTATTTGGGCAAGTTCAGTAAGAGTTTGCTCTTCTTGTGACAGGACACAATTGGAAGCATGGTTTATGTTCAAAGGCTGTGACTGGAATGTCACATTTGGGAGACAGGCATTAACTCAGATATGACTAGGCAGTTCGAAGGCACTAAGGGTCATCGATGGAGCCAGTAAAGCCCTTTGGAAAAAAAGCCTGACAGCTTGCTTACCGGGTTCCCAGGAGCCTTACCAGGTGAGTAAGTCACCTCCTGACAGGTGCAAAAACCTCAGGATATTTTGGGAACCTCAAGAAGAGAAGAATTAGCCTTAATCTCTAGGTATTACAGGTGACAGCTGATGGCAAGTCTTTGGCTTGACTTCTGGCCTCAAGCGGCAGTTTAAAGTTCAATACGGAGATTCCTTACAAAAAGTTCCAGCAAAGCAGATCTTAAAAGGCCTATATGATTAAGCAGTATTTTTGCTGCAATTATGTAAATAACCAGGCCAAGTTTCTCCAAACTAGATATATTTTTGCAAAGAAATTAGTCTTAATTTGGCTATCTTTGGTAAAATGAAACTGATTATAAAAAAAACAAACATACAAGTCAGGAAATGACAGATGCTGGCGAGGATGTGGAGAAAGGGGAACCCTCCTACACTGCTGGTGGGAATGCAAGCTGGTGCAACCACTCTGGAAAACAGCATGGAGGTTCCTCAAAATGTTGAAAATAGAACTACCCTATGACCCAGCAATTGCACTGCTGGGTATTTACCCTAAAGATACAAACGTAGTGATCCGAAGGGGCACGTGCACCCGAATGTTTATAGCAGCAATGTCTACAATAGCCAAACTATGGAAAGAACCTAGATGTCCATCAACAGACGAATGGATAAAGAAGATGTGGTATATATACTCAATGGAATACTATGCAGCCATCAAAAGAAATGAAATCTTGCCATTTGCGACGACGTGGATGGAACTAGAGGGTATCATGCTTAGCGAAATAAGTCAATCGGAGAAAGACAACTATCATATGATCTCCCTGATATGAGGGAGAGGAGATGCAACATGGTGGGTTAAGGGGGTAGGAGAAGAGTAAATGAAACAAGATGGGATTGGGAGGGAGACAAACCATAAGTGACTCTTAATCTCACAAAACAAACTGAGGGTTAATGGGGGGAGGGGGGTTCGGGGGGTGGTATTATGGACATTGGGGAGGGTATGTGCTATGGTGAGTGCTGTGAAGGTGTAAACCTGGCGATTCACAGACCTGTACCCCTGGGGATAAAAATATATTATATGTTTATAAAAAATAAAATAAAAAAAATTAATACAAAAAAAAAACAAACATATGCTGCAGTAACACAACTTTGTGGATATTAGATTCAAATAACAATTTATTATGAACTGGACTAGATCCTGGTTTCTTCTAGTTTCTTCCAATGCTTGGTTACAATTCTCCAAACTAATATTTTTGATATTCTTGATTGAAAATCACTTGATAACTAAAACTTCCCTTTTTCCTAAAGCCCTGGACATGGAGCATGAACAAGTTGATGTGAACTTCAGAAAAACCACAACAGCTCACACAAGAGCAATTTTCATGCCTGGTGCTCTGTGAGCCACTCAAAATGATCACCAGAGACACTCAAACTACAAACCAAGCAATTCTGACGGATTGCCACTGCCTGCCCTCACTTGATATAAAGATTCTTTAAACCTGACAACTAGAAATCCTTGACTGGCTACACTCAGAACTCAGAAACTGGTTTGTAATTTGATCCGATCATGAATCATTGTTTTTCTTTTGTTTTCATCGAAATGCCTTATTACCTGATTATCTGAACCACAGGCCTAACTCTGAGAACACACTTGCATCGCCACCTCCTGAAATGAGTTTAACTGAAATGACCTATTGTCAGAACTGAGACGCTGGTTCAAGGAGACAGGACCATCTGTCAGCTCAACTTTTAATGTAGGAAACGTCCAGGAAAGTTTCAGAAAAGGGAAGTGTAGCAGCCGAGGGTAAGCCACCCCAAAGTGTATCACTCGGGCACACTGATTATTCTAAGTAAGAAAGTTACTTAAGAAACAGCTGGTGCAAGGACACGCGGACCCTCCTCTGTCCCCCAGAAAGCAGGAAACACATCTCCCATGTGAAAGATACCCTCCCTGTACTACGGAAGTCAAAAGACATCTTTATCACCAGAGACAGGGGCTTTAAAACGGAGAAAGTTGTAGAAACAACCTCGTTACTTTTTTTCTGGAATCCTGCTACATCAGCCTAAATCCTGTTGGGGATTCCCTCCCAAATGAAGCTCTCAAACACCTGTTTTCTTTATCCTGTCAATTCCTCACAAATGTTATTGTCTGTCTAAAATGTATAAAAAGTGCCTGCCTGGGTCATTTCTCTAGGTCTGAATTTCACATATGGGCCTCTGTGCACACACCTTCTTTTTCTTTTCTCCCCCTCCTGTGAAGCTGTTCCGTGTAAATGTAATTCTTAGTCTAGTTGAAAGACGTTGAGGGTAGGGGGAGAATTTTTCCTGCCCTACAATCTCAATGAGATAGGGCAATAATAGTAGATAAATACAAATTCTGTCTCTCCGTAAGCATTTCATTTCACAACCAAATGGCTGGCTTCCCGGGTCACAAATGCCAGCCCAAAGTTCATCTTAGAAAAAAACAAATCCCGGGGGACGCTTGGCTGGCTCAGGCGGTGGAGCCGCGGACTCTTCATCTCGGGGTTGCCAATTCGAGCCCCACCTTGGGTACAGAGATTACTTAAAAAAATAAAATCTTTAAAAAAAAATTAAAAATGCCGGGAGGAAGGCTGAGCGGAGAGGACCCGGTCTTCCCCAGGTTAGAGGAACGCTGGTGGACTGGTCCACGGCGGTCAGGGCCCGGGCGGCTGCGCGGCCACACACCCGGCTGTCCCGCGGAGGCTCGGGCGGACAGCGGGGTCCGGTCCGCCAGACTGCCTGCGAGAAGGGCTCCGGAACCGAACTCCGTCCTGCCGCCGTCCACTGAGCGAGCCCCTCCTCCGGAAGCCGGGGAACCCGAGACCTGGCTCAGGTCGCAGCACGGGGAAGGGGTGGAGGCCGCGGGCACCCGACTCACCTGAAGAGTCGGTCCCGGCCCTGGGTCTGGTTGGTGAAGCGGATGAAGGTGTCCATGGCTTCCGGCCCGAGGCCACGTGTCGCCGAGTTCAGTCGCGAGTCCTCAAGAGCTTCGCTGGGTCCCCTCGGGAGAAGCTCAGTCTCCCCGCCCCCGTGGGGGTGGGCGCGCCTTCCGGAGAACGACTTCGCGGGCTTCCGGTGGGGGCCGGAAGTGGCGGTTACTAAGGCGACACCACGCTCCCGGCCCAGGTGAGCGGAAACTTGGCCGCTCCGCTTGGGTTCAGCGGTTCCCCGCGTGTCCCTGGAGGCCCCTCGACATCTAGGGTCTCCTAGAGGGGGACTCAGGGGGGGAAATCTCCCGACGCTCCTTGACATCTAGGGTCTGTTAGAGGAGGACTCGGGGTGGGGATCTCCCCAGCCTCTGACCTTTCCGGAGATCTTGAGAACTCCGGAACCCCATGCGGCATCCCGAATGGAGATTCCCCTGAGGTTTTGCTTAATCGTGTCCCACCTCTGTACCTAATCGTGTCCCACCTCTGTACCTCGGTTTCCCTTGAGCAACCCCAGCTCCAGGTTTGGGGTAGGAAACAGCAAAGATAACCCAATGCGTGGCATGTATTTCTAGCATGGAGAGCCAGGTAAAGTGGGAGAATTTTCTGTTCGGATCGTTGAGTACTCAAGATTGCCACCTGAGGAAATCCTAGAGGGGCTAATATGAACAAAATTGAGGCAGAAATAGATTCTGGCAAAACTGCAGCACTGAGCGTTGGTTCTTTGGGGCTTGAAGACATAGAATCCCACCCGCTCCGTAATAGTAATATTACGAAATATAACCCCTACAATCAAAAGGTTTATTTTTGTAACCTTTATTCCCTTGGTCAGGCCTGCCCTTAACATTTGCAGGCCAGGGGGAGGATTACAAATAAAGACCCACATACCATATGGTTATTTTTTAATTATTTTTAAAAAAATATTTATTTTGGGGGCACCTGGGTTGCTCAGTGGGTTAAAGCTTCTGCCTTCGGCTCAGGTCATGATCTCAGCGTCCTGGGATCGAGCCCCGCATCGGGCTCTCGGCTCAGCGGGGAGCCTGCTTCCTCCTCTCTGCCTGCCTCTCTGCCTACTTGTGATCTCCGTCTGTCAAATAAATAAATAAAATCTTTAAAAATATATATTTTTAAAGATTTATTTTTATTTATTTGAGAGAGAGGAGTGCTCAGGGACATGGGGGGGCTGCTGAATGGAGACAAGGGAGCGGGGCCCAAGCACACTCGCAGTGAGTGGGGTTATGTCTTCATCAAATTTTGTCTTTATCAAGGGTTTTGCCCATGATGCACCTTGGTATAGATTTCTTCATGTTTCCTTTGTTTAGGGCTTGTATTCTTCTTGAATCTGTGAGTTTACAGTTTTATCAAATTTAGAAATATTTTGTCTATTTCTGCAGATTTTTTTTTTCCTCTTCCCTCCTTTGGGGATTTCAATCACACTTATATTAGACTACTTCAGGTTCTCCCATACCTTTTTTCATTTTTTTCCCCTCTCTCTCTCTTTCAGTGTTTCTATTGCTGTATCTTCAAATTTCCTAATCCTCTGTCCATCTAATTTGTTTTGCTCTGAAGAGCTTGTGATTAATCTGATCGAATGTACTCTTCATCCCAGACACTGTAGTTTTCATCTCGGGAAGTTCAGTTTGGGTTTCTTCCACATCTCTAGCGAACATTTCCTCTTGGTTTTTAAACATGTGAAATACATTTATAACTGTTTTATCTGCTAGTTCTAATAAGTGCGTTGATGATGAGTCAGCTTCAGTTGACTGACTTTTCTCTTTGTGAGTTTCTTGCCTCTGCATGCCAGGTCATTTTTTTTTTCATTGGATCCCAGATATTTATTTCATTGGATGCTGGATATTTCTGTTTTCCTATAAATATTGTTGAGTTCGCTCTGGTATGCCGTGAAGTTACTTAGCAATTTTTTGATCTTGTCACTTTTAAGATTTGACTAGCAGTACCAGAGCAACGTTAATTCCAGGGCTAATTTTTCCCTTGCTTGGCAAGACCTTCTGATCACTCCACCCAGTGTTTGTAAATTATGAGGCTTCCCATTCTCCTGGGTGGAAACCGGCATTATTCCTGATGTGAGTTCAGCTTACTATTCCTACCCGTGATTTCAGGTGGCTCTTTTCTGTCATATTGGGGCTCAGCTAGCTCCTCTGGCTATGCACCAGAAACATCACAGATGAACCCTAACGGGTGAGGTAAGAGGATGGCAGTAGGTTTCTACAAGGGTTCCATGCCCCCCCCCAGTGCTCTGACAGTGCAAGACGCCCACTCCACTACATGTGAATCATCTCAGAATGGACCCCATGTGCCACATTAAATGCCTTTATTTACCTGTAATTTTGAGAGCCTTTTTATAATTTGTACAGTTTTGAGTTCTATGAAGTTCAGGTTACTTGTTCTTTTCTATGGACTGAAACGTTATGCACACACACAGCCTGGAGCTGATAAGTTGTGATATTTTTGTGAATGTTTAATTATTTTCATTTCTTGGGGATTTTGTTTTGTTTTAGTCCATTTTTTCCCCCGAGTCTCAAACATTTCTACAGGCCCTAGAAAAATCTCACAGGCCATGGGCACTCTGTCTACAGAACTCTGTCAGTCAGTAGCAGTGGGCCTAGAGAGAAAGGACCAAACGAGACAGCAAGGATTCGAAGTGCTTGGATGGCATCTGGTCAGAGACGAGGGGAAGGAAGGAGAGCAGTCCTGGCTCACTACCCAGCTGGCCTGGGCATAGCCACTTGCAGAGATGGAAGAAGGAAGAGAAGACCTAAGTTGTAGGAGAGAGGTGGGACCCAGACAGACACTCTCTGAGCAGGAGCTGGAGAAAGGCAACAAGGATGCCACATTTCCTCTCCCTGTGCCATAGCACCCATCATCTTGAGCTATTCTGGAAGATGTGACTCGTTAACACCCAGTTCTGCTGATATCCTTATTATATGAAGGGCATACTTTAGTAATGTGGTAACAATCCTGTGATAAATAAGGAAAGCGCCAGTCTCTAGAATAAATAGTTCCCAGGGATTTTTGTGCTAGAGGGGGGGATGTGCTGTCTTCTGGTAACTTCTCTTTTTTCTCAAAGGACCTTTGCTTGCTTCCTTTGTCAGCTTTTCCAAGTTTCCTAGACGCTCCCAGTGCCAGCTTCTGGGATGTCAACCCCCAGAGGAAGTCAAGTCTCCAGTTTTATGAGAAAGGGGGTGCTCGAGGTGCCATCCCCAACAGAGAAGGACTGGTCAAAGGATGATGAAGATGATTATGTCTTCATAGATTTGGGTGAGGAGGTGGATTCCCTGCCACAGCCTTACCGCATGATCAACAAGATGGTGAACCTTCTGTTTGACAAGTGTTGGGAAGTTATCCAGGAAAGGGAGGCACGGAGGGAAGTTGAGCTCAGCCGGACCCAGCCCACTTCCTACACTCCACTTATAGAAAGCAAGGTATGGAGGAGCTGACCAGGAGTCCCTGTTTCCCAGTAGAGTGTTGATAAATGAAAATGCCTGATCCAGGGAAGGAGCTCCTACAAGCAACCTTCCCTCATTAAGACAGGTGCATTTCTGAAAGATTACTAGGCTTGCTGATGTTGATTAAAATGGATCTAGTAGGGCGCCTGGGTGGCTCAGTGGGTTGGGCCACTGCCTTCGGCTCAGGTCATGATCTCAGGGTCCTGGGATCGAGTCCCACATTGGGCTCTCTGCTCAGTGGGGAGTCTGCTTCCCCCTCTCTCTCTGCCTGCCTCTCTGCCTACTTGTAATCTCTGTCAAATAAATAAAATCTTAAAAAAAAAAAAAAAGACAGCCATGGTTAATGGTCCCTCTACCCAGCAAGTAGCATGGCATTTTAATTAATTAATTAATTAATTAATTTTAAAAATGGATCTAGTAATCGCTTGGGAGAAATGGGTATTCTGATTAGTTGGAGATTATACAGAAAGTCTTTTATATTCTGTTGTTATTTAAAAATACTTCTGAATACTTTAATCACTCTCTTGCTTGATGACTGGGAATCTGCCAGTGTCTCAGCGTTTCCACGGCATTCTAGATGATAAAAGTACAGGGAACAGGGACACTTGTCTACTCATCACAGGACCTGTGGTCATGGTTAGTCTTGTAAATGTGTACTTATTCTCAACTTGGTTGTTTTCTCTGGCTCTTTTCTCCTAAAAGTAGAATGCTATGACTTTCCTGATGCTTGGGCAAGATACTTAGGTGAGCACTCTTTGGGGGTGATATTCTACCTAGGAAGGGCCCACATGCCTCTTTGAAAAGTTAGCTCACATTCTTGCAGATGGTGGCAGCTGAAAATCATTCCTTCTTCCTTTGTTTTTTGTTTCCCCAGCTCAACAAAATGCCAAATTGCATGGCGATTTCCCAAGACTATGTCTTTATTGGAGGAGCCAAAGGATTCTCCATCTATAATCTGTACAGTGCCAAACGAGTATATGGTTGGGAGAAACTTAAGGTGGATGTCACTTCCATCTGGGCCACAGATTTGGGGAGTGAAATACTTATTGTTCCCGTGGATGAAATGGGTACATGTTCTTCCTCTTTTTTTTTTCTTTTTAGCCAAATTTATAGTTATCTGTAGACTGTTCCAATTTAATCTCCTCTCTAGGTATGGGTGGGGCCAGACCTGGAGCCTTCTCCCTGGTCACATAGTATTAACTCACACACACAGAACATGATTGTGTGCAAAGCACTAGTCTAACATTGCTCATAAGCTGACCCATGCAACCCTCACAACAGCTCTGGGAGGTAAGTAGAATTTCTTAACCCTGTTTTTCAGAAGAAGCCACTGAGGCATTGAGGTTAAATAACTTACTTGGGATGATGTAGAAGGAGAGTGGCACAGGCAGGATGCTGCCCAGCCAGCATGGACACGGAGTTCACACCCTTTGGGCACTCAGAAATCCCGCTGCTCAAATAAAGTATCTTTATTTGAGGGATCGTTTCTTCCCCTCAGCCTGAGGCTGAACCAGGCCTTCATGGGGACGAGAGTACCCAGAGCCACA